TATTGAATAAATCGTACGTGTTGAGATGTATAGTATTTCCTAGGTATTTACTTGTAACTCGTATAATAAGTAGTAAAGCAATACAAATGAGCCTATATCTATAATAGAGCTCTAAAGGCTAGATTTTTAATGTACAAATGAATTTCGGCGATACCTGGGTAAGTGGCTTGTTTAAGGGGGGGTAGAAATTGCCCCCGGTCATCACATTCGTGGGGGCACAAAACCTTACACATGTGTCGTTTTTTTTATAGACGAGAAAAATTGCCACTACAAAAAACCAGTGGGAGGAAGAGGGCACTAAAAAAATGTGTGCCCCAGGCAGCAACCGACCTGGGTGCCGTGACAATTTTCTAAAAGATAGAATGTACCCATTTTTCTAAAAATAAAAATAGTATTTATTATGATATATAGTACCGTCAAATAAAAATGTTTATCCAAGTTATTACGTATTTATAAAATATTATCAAAGAAGCAAATAGCAATACAATAATAATATTAACAATAATCATAATTCATGTATCAATAAACTGATTTAAACAATCGATCACTCCAGCTATAAGAAACATGCAATTAGGAAATTCATGCATTAGTATGTTTTCAACATATTATTTATTACTCATGAGTAATAAGTTGTTGGTTAAAAGCTGTGAAATAGATTGTATATTTTGTAGATTAATGTATACATAAGAAAATAAATACATACTTGTATCAGTATTTTATCATAGGTTTTTACTTTTGGTCTTTAATTCATTATAATTTGTAAATCTCCTTCTTCTTCCTTTTCAGTAACTGTACTTGAAAAATTCAAATAACCAATAGAACACAAAAAACAAAGAAAGGTTTTAATTGCTTGATTTAGCAACTATTGCATTTAGGGCCAATTGTACCATATTTGATTAAAGTTAATTAAAGTTTAATCGGCCAAATTTGGCCGGTTGTAAAATCTGTTATCAGCTGATTAAGAGTAATCAAAGTGTCACCGTAGACGGTTCAATTCGCCCTTAGAGGTGTTGAGCTACAATCCATATAAATACAAACATAGCTTTAAAGTGTGTGAAAATTCACAATATATTTAAACAACTTATTTTAAAAATGCACACAAAATCATTGGATTAAAATATTTAATGATAAGTACATAGATGTATAAATACAATATTTGGTAAAAAAAAAACCTGTTTTAAAGAGTACAAATGGATTAAAACTTTTCAAATCAAAAATGCATCTATTATTATTTTTATAATATGATATATAAATAAACATATAAATACAGAAATTAAGTACAATTGTTTTAGGAATAAAATAAGTTTCATAAGATATTATTGAATATAGGTACATTTGATTTTAAATAACCAAAACCAACTTATTCAGTACATCTCAATATTTTACATTTTGTAAAACAAAATGTAACAGTTTTTAAATCATTTATACATAGGAAACTCTAAAATAATAAAAATACAGATCTAAGATTGTTAAGATATTGATAATTCTAATTTTTAAGATCATAAACTGCATTAACTGTTTTCATACAAAAATAAATAAATATTATTTAAACTCTTTATATTTGCATTAATTAAATGTTAAATGACTAGTAGAGTAATAAAATACTAAAAACATCAGTGTTCAGCAGAATAAAAAAAAGGTATTCAGTACAAAATTCTATACAGACATTTAATTGCAGTCATGGACAATTTACTAAATAGTGCATAATACAAATATATTATTCATATTGTATGACTCCAATATTTGCATATCTATACATGTACAGCGCACTTTATAATTAAAGTTAGAACCATTTTATGATTAGGTACCTATATATGATAATTAATATTATATCATAATGATGTAATAATTTAAGCTTCATGAAAAGGATGTCCAATTTACAACAAGCTATGAAATGAATAACTTTTGCATGTATAAATACAAAGAGTTAATGGAACTATGACACTAAAATGTTACAATTAAGTTGAATATTTAAATGTCATTATAATAATTAGGGACGGAAATGTTATGTTTTTACACATACTTATTATTTAACTATTGTTGACAACAGAAACTGAATCAATACTAATTTCAATGAAAGACAAAACTTCCATAAACTAATTATTTATGAATTTTCTGTAGACATTTGTATAAGAAAGTTATATTTTATTATTTATTCTTTAATTGTTATTTTATACTGGTGTATAAAAATATATATATTAGACTTTAAAATTATGATAACTATATAATTTTTGTTATTGTGAGTGAAAAATATTTTTGTGTGTATTATTTTCATTTGAAAGCGAATATTTAGTTTTTAGAGTGTAATATATTAATATCATATTTAAAGATTTTTAAGACTACATAGATATGGACAATAATATTATTATAATCATTTTATCTAAAATATGCATTAAAGAATTTAGATCTTCATAGTGTTGAACAATTAGTTTTGTTACATAAATGACCAGAATGAGTAACAAAATAATTAGTATAAAAAACTTAAACAAATAAATAAATAAAAAATAATTGGAATTGTTTTTTATGCACTAATTAAATTATTTATTTTTGATATTAATTGTCCTCACAATTAATTTTATAAGATTGATATTCATAATATAGCCTCCAATTAATATTCATATTATAGTATTATCATTTACCTTATTGAAATGTCTTAATTGACAGATGGTTTAGTATAAAAAATATGGTTTGTAAATAGTAAATTTGTATATTAACATATTGAACTTCTATCATATGGAAAACATGTTTTAATTTTTCTTTTTCTTGCAATTAGGTTTAGATTTTTATATACAAAAAATGTTTTTGTTATTTGTAACTATTAATTATAGATCATCATTTGCAACTTGATAACTTTTATTGTTATAATTTATACAGTTTAGAGAAGATTACCAACAAAATAAATATGCAAATTATATAGTAACCTATTAATTTAAAATGTAACTAACCAGATGGCATTATTTACCAGTATTTCAAATGCTGAACTATCAAAAGATTGCTTTTAAAAATTATAGATTATATTTAACAACAACAAATTTTGCACAGATTAATTATTATTCTTCATACAAAAAACCAAATTTAAACATAGAACAAATAAGTAATAACATTATGTTCATGTAACTATGAAAGAAGTTGTCTTGGTACATCACATATTAAGCTTGATGATACCATTATGTCATACACTTAAATAAGGCTCGATTTTTAGTTGGCGATAGGTAACAAATAGAACAAATATCATCATATCGTAGTATGCTTAAAATAGCCTACAGGCCATGTTGGTTAATTTTTTAATAGGTATATATTAGGACGGATTCATATTTGAACAAAGTTAAAATACTTGAAACCAGGAAAAATAATAAATTATTTACTTTAAAATTACTAAAAAAAAATCTTAAATAAATTAATATACTTGATTTATTTTGTTTTTAGGGATAAATAATACTTATTTAATGTATTAATAAGTTCATAATTTAAACAATGAATTCACTAACTGAGATGGACCATATAATTTTAATTAATAAGAATTTTGTCTTTTCATAAACCCAAATGTAAATTGGGTCATTGTTTTGTAATGTAATAGTAAGAACATTTTTTAAATAGAATTGATTTTTTAATGAGGCTTAACTTAAATACAAAAATTAACTGAAAAATGCTTAATCATAATTGTCCATCAACAGATTTATTTTCAGTAACAAGTACTATTTTAAATTTAAGTGTCATATTCTATAGGCTATTGGTTACGTATTTATTTATTTAAATTTAATTACTATTTATGAAAAAATATAAATGGCTGCATCATTTGAAATTTCATTATTTTAATTGCGTATTATGTATTTGTGCACATATATATTTGAAAATGTGTTGTCTAATAATTCTTAAACCCTAGTTATATTTCATAACTTAAGTTTATTGGTACATTTAACATTAAATTGTATAACATTCATACAAAAATTATATATATTCAATTTTAAAATGCAATGTTACTTATAAAAATTCAAACTATATAAAAAATGCGTCTGTGTGTATGTAGATAAACAAATAAAGGAAAATTAAAAGTACAAGAGGGAGACTTGAACAGTTGAGCCTGATCTAATTAAGCCTAAATAAATTATAAAAAATTGTATATTATGATGTGAATTTGTGATGATAAGCTGTAATTAATTGATGTATATCTTATTTAATAATACTGATAAATGATAATATAAGATAGTACATTTAAAAAATATACATCTTCACAGAGGACCTGCAATTTTTTTTATGACTTTTAGAAACTATTGTTTAAAAATTCTTTTATATTATAATTACACATGAACACCATTTAATTATAAAAGAACTTACAATGTTATGATTTAGAACATAATTTTTCAATTAAAACTGTAAATGCAATGAATAAATCATAAAATAAATACATTATTTATTAATTTAAAATATATATAATATTATATTATATATAATTATATGATACTTTAAATTGCCAATTTATGCAAATATATTTTTTTTCAATAAATTAGAATTACATCATTCTTCCCTTTTCACTTAAATACAATTATAAATATAATTTGCTTATGACACAGTATAAAATAAACTATTTTTAATTTATTCTTAAGTATAGTAAATATTATACACAGTATGTGTTAGAAAGTGAATAAATATATTCAATTACAGTTAGTTTGTAAAATCTTTTTTATTTACTTCTTGGTTAAACAAAAAAAGCTGAATATAATTATTTACTAAAAATCATCATGTTTAATAAATATTAATACTTATATATTGTATACATTAATTTAATTTAAATTATTAATGAATAATGTACGTTAGTGATAATATTATGTTCTTAAGGTCCAATAAAAATGTTTAAAATTAAAATAATTCCTTAAATTATTATTTTTTTATTAAATTTGGCAAAATATGAAGTTTGCTAGTTCAAAATATAATGAAAAAATAATAACAATCAATAAAATAAAATAAAACAAAACAAAATGAGATCTAAAAAAATTAAGAAAATTAAAATATATGTTAGTTAGTTAATAAATAAAAATAAACCAAGTAGTAGTATAGTTTAAGTTATAGGTTTTTTTTTTTTTAATCAATACTGTTTGATTGAGTGAGTCAATTAAAAGTGAATCAATTTCATAAATTAACAATATTAAAAACTTGCAGCAACCCAGTATGGCACGTTTGGTATTGGTGCAAGAATTGATCATTTAATCACTTACTTCCCTGTATGGTATTTCTGAGGTAATAGTGAAGTCTTCAAAATAATGATTCAGGAACTCAAATGTGGGTCGCTTATCTGGATCAGAGTCCCAACACAGTAACATCAGTCTGTAAATATCATCAGGGATGAAGTGAGATACTGGCTTTGGCATACGATATCCATGTTCCACTTGTTCAATTACTTCACGACCATGCATACCTGAAATAAAATACATTAATATATTATAATAATATGTATACAAGGAACGCCTTTATTTTGGTTCTGCTGGACAATATTTGTCTAGACTCTAGTCACTACAATGAATGTGGTAAATTTGAATTCAATGATTTAAAACCATTATATACAAAAAAACAATTCAAAGTGAAAACTGTCTATCAATCTATAATATTACTATGTAGGTATATTTTATGATATTATTGTGATTAAAGTAATTTATTTTACTATCAAGCATTAGTATCTACTACAGTAGGTTAAATTTATTTTTGTTAAAACATATTGTGTGCATAAAATATAATAATATACTTTAAAAGTTTCAAGTACCCACAAATAATATATTTAGATTCCAACAAAACAACTAAAATCGTGATTCTTGGTTTAAAATAAGTAACTTTGTCCAATTTGAACATGAAATAACTATGAAAAAAACTATAATAGTAAATATTATTAGTTACAGTATGAACTACATATTTGAAACCTTAATTTAAAATTTCAATCTTAAGCTATAAAAATTGAATGCAAATTGTTAGCTACAAAATATTATGTATGTACATTTTGTCAAAATTTGAACCTCAAATGTTTGTAAAAAAAATCTTGCTAATGTATTTTTAATATTTTTTAACTGGTAATACAAATGATTTAGCTCCGTGGTTTCGTCTCCCACTCTACCACCTAGCCGGCAGGTTTAATGATGGGAATGCACAAGATTGGACGAGTTTTGGTCGCCACTCAAAAGTGCTCTCTCAGTGGCCCAACTATAACAATGTGTGATAACTTATCTCTGATAAGCTTTTGTATTTTAGTTATGCTATTAAATTATCAAGTTTTTTTATTTAAAATCTTAACAATTTTTAATGTCCGTGAACAGCTCTAAATGTGTCAAAATATTTTGAAAATGATTTAATCATTCAATTAAAAATAATAGAATCAGGCAATAATGAATACATGACTTTCATATTTTGAGAATGCAATCATTAACAGTCCTGAATTTGTTATTCAGTATCACTAAAAATTGTGTTGGATGGCATCAAAGTTATGTCATCAAAAACAACTAGAATAGTTCCCAAGATGTTATCAAAATAAAATAATGTTTATTTTGAGCCTTTCAAAAGCCAACTAAAATTCGTAATGATTCAAAACATATAATATACTTAAATACATATATAATCAATCATAACATAATCCTTGCTCAAAATCTTAAAATATTATATTCTATCAATTATTAAGCAATGTTATAAACTTTTAAATTAAAATATTAAAATAATATAAATTTAAAATAACTTATTTTAAATTAGAGGTTTCAGATGAAAAAACCTATTTTATTACCTGGGTATGGGACTTGTCCATACGTAAATAATTCCATAAGTAATATTCCAAAAGACCACACATCTGATTTAATTGAAAAACGTCCATACACAATCGCTTCAGGTGCAGTCCACTTTACAGGAAATCGTGTACCTTGCCTAGGACAATATTCATCATCTTCTATAATTCTTGCTAAACCAAAGTCACAAATTTTAGCCATATTATTTTCCCCAATCAATACATTTCTTGCAGCCAAATCCCTAAAAAAATTATCAATGATTATAGTTGGCTTCATTAATTAATATATGTTCAATGATTTTACCGATGAATTAATTGCTTTAGTTCTAAATATGCCATTCCACTAGCAACTTGAGCAGCAATGTAGATTAAATCACCAAATTGTAAATATTTACTATCACAATTTCGCAAAAAATCCAATAAACTTCCATTACACATATATTCTTGTATAATTAGTACAGGTTCATCTTTTGAACAAACAGCATAAAGGGCAACAAGTCGATCATGTCGAAACTTTTTCATTATAGAAGCTTCTTGTAAAAATGCTTGAGTAGACATAGAGCCTTGTTTGAGTGTTTTCACAGCTACTTCAATATTATTTCGCCATTTACCGTACCAAACTTCACCAAAATTACCATGGCCAAGTTTTCTGATTAATTGGATTTCACTGCGATCTATTTCCCACTGATCACGTAAATTAGGACCTAAATCCCAAATCTGTGGTTGTGGCTTACAACATGAACGAGCCAAAACATGACACAATCCCAATGAATTTTCTAAAAGTAATACAAAGAAGATAAAGTTTTGAAAATAATTAATAGCTACTAAAGTTCTTACTAGAATATGCAGATATGAGCTCAGGAAGACTAGAAAAAGTCTGATTAGTAGCAATGTAATAACCACCATTATCAAGAGATTTTATTTTATAATGTTTTACATGATACCCTCGACCTCCTTCCCAGTCTTTAACACTAAGAGAGAATCCATTTGGATTGTGTTCCGAATCACGTACTAAATATGTCCCTCTCTGATTTTCTTCAGATAATAAAAGTTTTTCTGCTTCTTTACGAGATATTTTTCCAAAAAACCAACTGCAAGTAATTATTAAAAATATTTTAAATTGTATTTATGTTTTTGTATCAATAGAGTTGCTCACTCTTCACTCTCAACTGATTTTTCTTCAGCAACAAAATTCCAAGGTATTAATCCTTCTTCATTTGTTCTCAAATGTCTTACACGCCACCAATCTGGTTCACTATCATCTAATAGCTCCATTCGGTCTCCTTTAACAAAGGAGACATCAGACATCTCCCTTGACTGGTAATTATAAACAGCAACCACAATTCGTCCATGTAAAGATGAATGAACTAAAATATAGTTTTGAATAAATACATGGAAATCACAAAACTAATTTAAATATTATCATTACGTGTTGATGTTGGGGTACGTATAATGTCAACGCCGTGGCGTTTAATGCTTGCTGTTCCATGTTGACGATTTAGATCAGCCACATAACGCACTTCACTAGATCCTTTATTCAAGACATCAATAGAATCTTGTATTTTGAAACCATGATGTAGAACTACAATGTAAATAGAAGTAATAAAACAAAAAAGTATTTAGGTTACCTAGTTAAAAATTAATCTTAATTAATAGATATTTACCCAGATGATGGGTAGGATCTGGTGAATGACGACTGCAACAAGTACCCATTTTATGAACAGTGATTAGTCTTCATCATATTTGTTAATACTTATAACTTTACATGTATAACAAATTTAAATAAATTATTAATATCACATAAGATACATTTAAATTGATACAACTATTGGTTATGATTTACAAATAAACTTACTAAAATTATTATTGTTATTGCAAACAGTAGAACGCAATATTCAGATTTATCTTTTAACTAAATAATTTTAAAGCATAGAAATAGAACTCACATAGTTACATTGATTACACTTTCTAAAAGATTTTCGTCTTCTGTATCTGTATTGTATACAAAATAGTAAATACAAATGCAGTTCGCATTATTTTCATCAAGTTGATTATTGATAAAAATATGCTCTTTAGCTCACTCTCGTGGTGAAAAATAACAACACTAATGAGCTATGATAAAATTGTTATACGCAAAACACGATAGTTCTCCCGCGGATTTCATTGCTACGTTATAACGATTTCTTAATTCGAACATATTTACACTTAGTGTCTTAGTGGCTTAGTGCTTACCTAATAATACGATATGAAAACATAAATAATTTAATGAAAAACAATGTTTTTTTGTGTATACGAAGTACAGACTAGGTTTGTTTATTATAACTTATAAGATACGGGTAGGTAAACAACCAATAACACTATAAAAACATACCTACTTGACGCTTTTGTGACAGGATTGGTACCTATCACTTTTTTTTTATAGGACAAAATATGGATAAAAAATGAGAGGACGGCTTCGAATGGAGGCGTAAAATATCCAAAACAATATTGTGATAGCACTTACTCCTTTTAATGCAATCTGCAAGACTGCAATTGAACGTTGTAATTGATTATTGGGAGAGCGGGGTGCAAAACATAATTTCGCCCTAGGTGCCAACAATTGGAGCTCTGGTAGGTAGGTCTAATAAATTATCGCTACCGAAAATATTTCTTTGTTCAAATGTTCAATTGCAAATTTCAATATATTATAAAGGTACAATATGCTATCTCCAAATGAAAATGTTCTAACCGACAAAGTATAATATAATGCAGTTCCTATTTCTACTTTGACAATTTTTTCATCAGAATGTAGGTTATGTACTTCTTAAACCTCTCTCTGACCTTTGAGCCCTAAGAAATGGTTCAAACAAATTGTCTGTAGGTGCACCTAACTGCCACCACTGTCCACTCTTCCAGCCTTCCTAAAGTTAGTAGTTTAGGGTTCTAATAATATTATGTAAGTAGCTTAGCACGTAATATGACTGCTCGGCGCTCTTCCAAATTGGACAGTGTACTGCTGAAGTGCTGACGATAACTTGCTTCAGAGCATCATCCTAAATGATGTCGGATATTATGGATCATGTAGTAAAGAGCCAGAGGGGATTGATCGATACATATAAATTACCTAAAAAAAGAACATTGAAGAAACCTCCAGAGCTGATTTGGCTCTGTGAAAAGGTGAATTTTCAAAGTTCGGTGCAGCCTATGGTCAGTAGGTAGGTACCTATTTAGTCATAATTATATTGTATTTATATACCACACGGGGTAAACTTAAAAATGAACTGAAAATTTGTATGAAACATAGTTAGGTGCCTGCTATACGTTATAGCTATGGATATCAAGGGCATAATGCCGTATTCTTGATAAAAAAAAACATTATGAATCATAGTTTATGATCAATTGAGAACGGCTTTCGCTTGTATATAGTGTATCTTGATCGTGCATGTATTGCCGTGTTGGTCAAGAATAGAGCCTATACCTCGTAAGCTAATTTCCGATGTTGGTGACAAATTATTGTCTACAAAAGGGTGTTAAAGGCTATTTTTGTTTTCCGTCGTTCTGCGGTGTTATCAGGAAACCACGACCACGTTGGATGTTGACCGACGATCGTCATTCTTCACTCTTTCCGACAAATTAGCTAGAAGCGAAGCTGTCTGCGAAAAAAACCGACTCCAAGCTCCAAGAACTCCTGATCAATGGCTTTCGAGAAACATATCCTCTGCTATCTTACGGAACAATTGGAACAACGGATCAACTATAAACCATATACTGATACGCATAATACCTATGTTGTTTAGTTAACAGTTAATAGTTAATAGTTAATAGGTACTACCTAGTACCCAATCATGTGCTAGTAAATTAAATTATCCTAAAACAATATAACTATACATTAAGTTACAAATTTTAGGGAGAATAATAACTTAAATTAAGTTAAAAGTTTAGTACATTTTTTCCGTTCTAGTAGTTCTCAGCGTTTTTACCATTTAAGCTATTTAGGTAATAACTAACAACTAATAACTAATTAATAAAAAAACAATTACCTACTTATACTGGCTATACTATATAGTAATTGACAATTACTTTAATGTAAACAATTGAGTTATTATACTGTTATTAATAACGAATGAACAAGGGGCCGTGTTAGTGACACCATGGACAATGAACTAGGTACATAGTTCAGTGACCGTGGATCGTACACGCTACACAGTGGGTGGTGCCGTGGTGGCAATAGTTTATTTATGTGACATATCTACTGACATGTGCCATGTGTGTGTAAATTCATATATAAATACTACTATCATTTCTTGTAAATTTAGTATCTGTTATTCAAATATTTTTAGACTTACCAGTTACCTAGCACACAAAACTCATGTTAGTGTCCATGAAGTACATTATTATAAGTATCTAGTAGATACCTATGTAAGTTTAATCGTTTATGAATAACACCAAACAACAAAAGACGGTATATCTGCTTATAATATTACTGAGTATATTTTATGATATTATTGTGATTAGAGAAATTTATTTTACTATTAAGCATTAGTATTATAGTATAGGTAGGTTAAATTAATTATTACAAAAAAATTGAATTTAAATTGTCATTGTGTGCATGGTACTATAAAATATAATAATATATTTTAAAAGTTTCAGGTACCCAGGAATGGCAGAAATAATATATTTTTTAAATTACATCAAAACAATTAAAACCGTTAATCTTTGTTTAAATATCTAATTACGACCAAATACAAATACAAAATAACTAAATTTGTTATAGCTATTATTGGTTTATAATATGTAATTTCGTATAAATTTGAACTTAAAATAACTATAAAAACAACTCGTGCTTATATATTTTTTTAATTTCCTGATTAGAAAATAAACTGCTTACCTACTTTGGACCTTGTCTTAAATGTTCAATCCTTAACTATAGAAATTGAACGTTTTATACATTTTTAACTACAAAATAATTTGTACATTTTTTCAAAATTTGAATTTTAAATGTTTATAAAAAAAATCATGCATACGTATTTTTGATATTTTTAAACTGCTATGTAACTATGTACTAGGAGCCTAGAATTACATTTTTAATCTTTTTGACCTAACAAATACAATTTTATCGACATTTATAGAAAACATTTCAATTTTTAAATGTATATAGGTAAACAGTTCAAAACGAGCAACCATTTTTTGAAAATTTAATCAATAATGTAGGAAATAATAAAATAAATATTTAGTGTAAGTTTCAAGTAACTACCTATCTACGGTTTTTCGTTTTTAAATTACAACAAAATAAGAAAATCGTTCTATAAGAAATTAAGTGAATATTCAATGTTGTAAATATTTGAACTTCGAACGTTCATAAAAATGTAATTTGACTTTTAGGTGGAAATTTTTTTGTTAAGGTAGACCAACTTAAAAAAAAACATTTTTTTGAATTTCCAACTGAGAAATAATTTGCAAATTTTTAGGATTTCAATAGTGAGCCGCTGTAATGATATTCCGCTATAATGAATAACTAAAAGAAAAATAAACCCGGACATTTTTTTTTTAAACAGGGAACTCACCCTGCTATATTGTAGGTGTTTAAAGAATTTTACTACTCCCAAACCTTGCAACAGACACAAATAAAACACACACACACACATTATCATTATTTTAAAATCAATATATGCATCAATCCCTTCAGAATTTACTATGTTTTCTGGATTGATATTTTACCACTGTCATACAAATAATAATAATGCTGCAAAAAAAAGCCACAAATGTCCATGCATGGGGGGGAAAAACATAAATTAAATATTGAAAATAAAACATACCTATAGGCGCCGAGGAAGAACATACCTAATCAAAATGTTTAAAGTTGAAACGTTTGGCGTTTTCCAGCAATATTTCCTCCAGAAACAAGGAATGTTCATGATTATCTGTAATATAATATTACACATGCTACTGCATGTCATTTTCATTATAAAAATGGGCGCTCATGAATTGCCTCCCATGAAATTTTTTTTAAAAAGTTTACTCAAATTGCCTCCCACGAAAAAAAGTAGCCGAAAAAGTAGTGACCCTCTTGTACTGCAATCGTCTCCGATAGCTATGATTAATCGATTTAGGTATAACCTTACATACTTTAGACTAATAAATATATTAAATAAATTGAGAAAATAAATGTTGATATATAATAATAATATTTGATTATGTAGACTGATTTAACAGTATTCAAAAAATTAATTACAAGTCAATACATAAAATAATTTAGACGAAAGAAACAAATGACGAAAAATTTCAGAGAAAGAATTTAAAATAAATTATCAATATTTTAGTACAAAAACTGACAGCTATAATAATAATAATTAATAATAATAAAAATAATAAACATAGTCAATACATAAAATAATAATTAATAATCAACAAACAATTAATGATAAAAATAAAAATCTAAGTTTGTTATCTTGTATTATAATTATATCTTAACTTCTAGGCTTAAATTTATTTGCTAATGCTTTAAATACTAAGATTTGTAATTTCATTCATGTTTAAATTATCAATTAAATCAATTAAATCATAAATAAAATTAAAATTTTTTTTTTGTGGCTGTAATAATAATTTTGAAGTCGAATTTAAAAGATCTAATAAATATTACTATATTCATCACCATTGATATCAATACATTAAAAAACCTGTAAATATGAGGGTGAAATTATGAAAAATTAGGATTATATTTAAAGTGCAATAATTCAAAAACGTTAGTAGACCTTTGTGCACTAGATGTCATTTCAGCCCACATTTTCGATGGAAAAGATAAATCTTCATCTATATAATTGTCAACTAAATAATCAGAAAATTGTGTTATTTTGTCGCTATCAGGT